TAGATGATAGATCCCACACATTAAGTATGCCTCTTTAAAATCCATCGACCTTCAAAACAAGTCTTTATAAGCCGCTGGCACTTGTACCACATCCAGTCGTTGAATAAGAGACGCGGTTGCGACCAAGAATTACGTAATTACATCTAGAAAACCACAATAAATATAAAAATAAACACAAACCTTTGACACAAATGTGAGAAGAACGTTTTTTACTTTGCCCTTGGTCGATATAGGACACTGTAATACTTGCAAATGAAACTTAATGGTCTTTGGGCAGTTAGCCTGGCCACTGAGACACGATAACAGATTTTATTGTGTGACCTAAAAACGGTTACGTCTTCTGACTACGTAATTTAGAATTATTTTACGAAGAGATAACCTGACCTTGTTTTTCTTCTTCTTTAGTGATACTATAAGTAAATGTGGGAGAGCCATGCTTCGCCACGAATGGACCGGCTCGACCGGAGTGATACCAAGGCTTCACAGAAAACCGACGTGAAGCACCGCCTGCGTTGTGTTTCGTCGTGTGAGTGAGGTTACCCGAGGCCCAATCACCCTCCCCTTTCCCAATCTCCCCAATTCCTGAATCCCCAATGATCCTCAAACTCCTAATCCCCAAAAGGCCGGTAACGCACTTGTAACGCCTCTGGTGTTCCAGGTGTCCATGGGCGACGCCGATTGCTTACCATCAGGTGATTATCTTATCGGCTTATGCCATAAAACAAAACAATTATGTTATGAGTCCCTATTGCCACATACCAGGCACAATTCAAGACTCCGTGCTACTACTGAGATTTTTTTTAAAGCCCAGTAATACTTTGCCCGACCCTTGCCAGACTCCTTGACCGGCACTCGCACTTGCGACCAGTCGGCCCACGAGGCTGTCAACTCAAAATATGTTTTTAGTTATGACTTAAGAAAAACAAATCAATCTAATACATTTCTTATCGAATAACAATCGTATAAGTAAGGTTACCGGTGGCCCAGGTCCCTCCCCCTTTCCCAATCTCCCAGATTCCTGAATCCCCAACGATCCTCAAACTCCTAATCCCCAAAAGGCCGGTAACGCACTTGTAACGCCTTTGGTGTTCCAGGTGTCCATGGGCGACGCTGATTACTTACCATCAGGTGATCCGTCTGCTCGTTTACCGGCTTATAGCATAAAAAAATACTGGTGTAATATATACATATGTGCTAATGCTGCCTCACATAACATCATCAGCCTATTTGTGGCCACTGCTGACCAAAGACCTCTTCTCACACGGATAAGTACGTACGTATACGTACTTGCCGTCGGTATATAGGTTTCAAACCCGCACTCTAATGCATGAGAAACCTTAAACTTCCGAGCCCTCACGGAGATTCCAAACCCTCATGGCAATTCCGGCCCCACGAAGTCACTGGGCCACCTCGACGAATCGACGATCCTATTGCTGCCTATTTATTCATTGAAAAAAAAATCGGGCAAAAAGAAATTAGACCAGGCTAAAAGAGCGAGGAACTCACTAATTGGCAATCGATGCTTCTATTACCTGCAATGGAACAACTCCGTCAATATACCTATCGAAGTCAGTCCAATTGTTTCCTTCAATTTCAAAATCGAATAACCCAATGTTCGAACTCGAGACGTGCAGGCAGGTCGTGCATGTGAAATACCTAGAAATGACTATCTCAGTATTAAGCAACCGGAATTTTACGTAAAATACTTTTTTTATCTCAGTAAACAAAAAACCTCGTTGTAATCAAACCTGCGAAACTTCTAGGGAACTTATTCATGTCACTTTTCCATCTTAATCCAAACTTAAATCACTTTTAGTTCTGATACCCAAACAAAATATTTAAAGAGTATCGGTCAGTTCCGTATTAATAGGTTATTTTGTCGTTTTAAAGTATCATAGGTACCTATGGACAAGAGGAAGCAAGAAACAACTATTGCATAATGTATTTTATTATCTTTTTAACCCATGATATGCTGGAATGTAAATATACGCGAGACACAATATGTTTTCTACATAACATAGCATAATATCTCGCCTTTTAACCCAGTCTGCAGAAGTGCACATGACGGCACTTAATGCCACTGTATAATGTAACACCCACTTTTCAATTATTGATGTTATAAGTCCTATGTAATAGGGGGTGAGCCTATTGCCATTTACCGGACACAATTCCAGACTCCGTGCTACTACTGAGAATTTTTTTAAACCCACTAATATTTGGCCTAACCCGGGAATCGAACCCGAGGCTCCTTGCACTTGCGACCACTCGGCCAACAAAACAGTCTAATTTGTTTTCTATTGTGTCATATATTGTAGATAAAAGATTAAACAAAAAAAAATCATCTGCTCATTAATAAAATGTAAATAGCGCATAATATCGCGATAAAAAACAAAAACTAATCTATATGCAGAAGAAGTTTTTGCTCGGTCCCCATAATTCTCTTAGTCCTTATCCCTAATGTGTAATTCTTTCATGTACCCCATTACATGAGGGTAATTACCAAGATTCACAGAACATCACAAATCTCGTCTTTACGTGCTTTTTATTGCGAAATCAGAGTTTTACTGTTTATGTAACGCCTTTAGATGGAACGACGTAGATTGGGATTTTGAGGTCAACTGTTTGGGCGGTCCGGAGACGTTTAGTGCATTGGAGTTACATTTTGTTTTTATTTAGAATTGTAATTTTTGTAACATTTCGCCTCGTTGGTTGCTGTTCAAGGGTAAATGTCGTACAAGCGGTCTCATGGTTGTTCCTTGGATTAGACAAAAATTACGAGATGTATTGGTTTTTAATATTGAAATTGGGTCCGCCAATCGCGAGATAGTTGCGCACAAACATACATACATACGTACAGGTAAAACTGAGAACCTCCATTTTTGAAGTCGGTTAAAAATTGGACTATTCTAATAAAATCAATCACTCATAGTAAGAACGTCGTATTGAAGAACCCCATCGAATAATAATTACAACACAAAACATAACATCACGCCTTTTATCCCCAAAGGGGTAGGGAAAGGTGTACATTATGCCACTGTACAATGTAACACCCATTTTTTTACTATTTATGTTATTTTTTTAATATTTTAATACATATATACTTAATTAAATGTATACTAACTATTACTAAATATATACAACTTAAGAATTTAAGGTACAAAAAGATAAAAATTAAAATAACTATTGAAATAAATAATAAATAATTAATAATTAATTAATTAATAATTTATGTTATGAGTCCCATGTAATAGGGGGTGAGCCTATTGCCATATACCGGACACAATTCCAGACTTCGTGCTACTACTGTGAATTTTATGAAAAACCCAGTAATACTTTACCCGGGAATCGAACCCGAGACCCCTTGCCCGGCAGTCGCACTTGCGACCACTCGGCCAATGAGGCAGAATAATAATTATACCAAACATAATTTCACGCCATTTAAACAAAATATAAATAAAAAGTACCAGGCTCTCAAACTAGCTAGGAGTACTTATAAACATTTCCACTCCAGAAGTGTTCATCGTTCTGGTTCTAAAAGCTATAATAACAACTGTATCTTACTTCGCAGTCGGCAATTAAGTTAGTGTATGTACTTCACAATAACAGTGAACATTTATGAGTACCTGTGTATCTCATAATTGTGATTTTGTTACAGATTTGTGTGGTAAATGCTCTTTTATTAAGCTTAACATTAGGGTAATTATATTAAGGATTTATTTTAAAAAAAAAACTTTACTCCACACTAGACTATTACAGATGGGGCCCAACAGGGCTGATGCCGATATGGAGCCGCGGAAGACTAAACGGTTTGCCGGGGCTCCGGCTCGAAGTGCAGGAGTAGGTACGGGGTGGTTTTTAGTGTCTAAACTTGTGGGAGAGCCATGCTTCGGCACGAATGGGCCGGCTCGACCGGAGTAATACCACGGCCTCACAGAAAACCGACGTAAAACAACGCTTGCGTTGTGTTTCGTCATGTGAGGTTACCGGAGGCCCAATTACCCCCGTCCCTAGTCCCCGTCTCCCCGAATCCTCCACAACCCTCAAATTTCCAATTCTCAAAAGGCCGGTAACGCACTTGTAACGCCTTGGTGTTTCGAGTGTCCATAGGCGGCGCCGATTACTTACCATCAGGTGATCCTTTTACCGGCTTATGCTGTAAAAAAACTTGCCATTTATACATAGTTACCTATTATTATGGTGGTTGGTTTTATACATGGTTCGGACTAGTTCGGAACACGTTGTGGACGGCTCGCGGCCTAGTATTGCCGTCGTGCACAATATTGTCGAAAGTATTTGTTAGAAAAGAAAAAACGTGTCTAATGATTTAAATAAATCTTCTAGGCGGACATTAAAATATAATTTAGGTAACTACCCTATTGAAGCTTACATTAATAGTAAACAATACAACACACATTTTGTACAACACATTTCACAATGAACAGATTTAATTGTTGGTATTGTATTGGTATCAATACGATTGTACCGAATTGAATTTATTTGCATTCGACACGTGGGTTGGGTCCTACTAAATATTTATATTTCCTGAATGAGCTTGTGAAAATTCTGTATGCATTAATATGAATTAGGTGGGAAGGTGATGATTGTTTTAATTTTTAATTTAAACTTTTAATGTTATTATTAAGGTTTGTTTTGTCGTGAAATGTTTAATATAACAGAATGATTTTAATGTAAAATTAAGTGTTACGTTGTACAAAAATTCTGTTTTTATTTTGAACTCCACTCTGAGTTACGACTAAGAATTTATTTAGAAGGCTGTAATATTAAAATCTTGAGATTTTATACTTATATATCTTGTGAATCAAAATGAAATAAACAAAATAGAAGCATTTTATTTATATTCTTTGCATTACACAAAATTAAATTACTTTACAAATAAATATTTCTAATGAAAACTTATATAATTATAAAATTAATTGGATTATGACTAAAAAATCAACTAACAGTTCATGGAAGCAGATTAAATACAAGATAATTAAAAATTAAATTTTCTTTTTATCACCATTAATAGCTCCAAACCCTACAGCTTTGGTGACTGTGGACCTCCTCTGGACATCATAGCGAACATCCACCTTATACACTTTGGATTCCCTCTTCATCATTAGGTAACGACTCAATAATCTTGGCACTTCTGAGCTGATGTACTAAAAAATAAGAATTAGACTCTATTAGCATAAAATAAGGTTAAAAGTCTATTGAAGAAGTTTCATAGACTGCAGTAGCGTTTGACAGATAGCATAGCATTGGTGGAGTAGCCTATGTTATAAATAATTATGTACTCTCTTCATTAGCGTGTACTTTTATAGGACAAGTTGGTAAACGAATTAGACATCTATGACAAGGATTGCTAAAAAGCTTTATAGAGAGAGGAGTGGAAGGAGGGTAGGGAGGCCTTTGCCCTGCAGTGACAGTCATGGCTGAAAATAAATAAATAATAATAAGTTGGTAAAGGAGCCGACGGATCACCTGATGGAAAGCAATCGAAACACCAGAGGTGTTACAAGAGCATTGCCGGTCTTTTGGGGGTTAGGAATTTTAAAATAAGAATGGTGCTTTTGTAACTACATTACACAAACACGTAACTGGCCTATAGCTGTCAACAACACTAGTACCAAATTAAATTAAATACAAATATTCATCTGTCTCACTCATACCTCAACAATATAGTGTAAAATTAATTATTAATTTTAACGCCATACATTTAAGAAATATTACAATTTATTTTATGTCTGTAATAATATTACGATAATACTAACGTATCTGGAACTGAACTGCTTCCTAAGTTGTCTTTCAGAAAACTCCTTGGGACCCCATTTAGGCATCGGCCGAAACATAAATTGGCATGTCTGAAAGAGGAATAAGTAGATCAATTGGTCTCCAGTGCCTTTAGGCAAACGCCAGTGGTCGCAATTGCGACTGCCGGGCAAGGGGTCTCGGGTTCGATTCCCGGGTCGGGCAAAGTATTACTGGGTTTTAAAAAATTCTCAGTAGTAGCACCGAGTCTGGAACTGTGCCCGGTATATGGCAATAGGCTCACCCCCTATTATATGGGACTCATAACATAAATAATGAAAAGTGGGTGTTGCATTGTACAGTGGTATAATGTGCACCTCTGACTACCCCTCCGAGGATAAAAGGCGTGATGTTATGTATGTTCGTAATATAACCAATATGGTAACCCGTACACTTTAGTGGTAGACGGATCACCACGTCAACTGCTAATGCTTACGGGAGCTAGGGAGGATTATCATAGGGGAAAGAATACATACCATATGTTGTTTTATCAAGTACTTATATGACACAACCAGTACTCCAACGAAGAGTGGAATCAACATGATAAACCAGGACCATTTGTAATGTGGCACTAACGATCCATACTTGTCGTCTTCTAGAACATTCCAAACTGCTTTCATGAGGAAATAGAATTTGAACTGTAAAACAAACAGCCTTAATTCAGTATCTTTCACATATTGTTATGACATACATAACATTACGCCTTTTATCCCCGAAGGGGTAGGCAGAGGTGTACATTATGGCATTTAATGTCACTGTACAATGGAACACCCACCTTTTATTATTTTGAGTCCCATGTAATAAGGGGTGAGCCTATTGCCATATACTGGGCACAATCCCAGACTCCGTGCTACTACTGAGACTTTTTTTAAAACCCAGTAATATTTTGCCCGACCCGGGAATCGAACCCGAGACCCCTTGCCCGGCAGTCGCAATTGCGATCACTCGGCTAACGAGGCAGCAGATATTATTATGAGAGCTTTTCATAATCTCCATGCGTGTTGGCCAGATTGGAGATCGCAATAAAAGACTAGCTTCTGCCAGCGACGGCCTTTATCCGCGGTTCCACGGGATAATAGTAGACTATTTTTTTAAGGGGGGAAAATCATCGAATGACTGCTCCCGCCTGGGTGAGGCGGGAGGGAGTGTCAGACTCTTACTGACTAAAAACCAGCTCGTTCCTTCTCCTGCACGTCGAGCCGGAGCCTCGGTTACCCGTTAGGTTCTCCGCGACATAATAGTAGCCTATGTGCTATTCCAAACCACAATTCTACACCAAAAAAACAAACAAATATACAACATTTTGCATTTATAATACCTATTAGTAGGATTCAGCTTTATCAGAGAATGCTGGGGTATAGTTTCTGTCGGTGAAAACGGGTGTCTCTATCGTTGTTATAACGCTTTTGTGCAGTCACTTCACAAATTTCCGTTACTCGAGCTGATTGGAAACTGACCCATGCGTGCTGCCATCGGAACAGGTCCACTCAAACTGTTGTGGACCTTTCCTCAAAAGACCCCTACAGAGTCAACTTTCACGATTCTCGCACAATACATAATCTGTCTGAACTTTAAAAGAGACAACGACATTTGATTTTGTTTCGGCGTTTCTTTTTAGGGTAGTCAGTTAGGAAATGTCAGTCCTTATCTAGTAATTTAAAGATTGACTTGTAAAAGTGTTACTTTATATCCTATTTGCAGAAATAAATATCATATTATTTTAATTGTAATTATATTTTTTTTCAATATGTGCTATTGTTATTAATATGTATGTGTAATGTAATGTTGTACTTGTTATTATTTTTATTATTTATTTTTTATCCATCTGTTTAAATTTTTGACAATAATCGTAGCTGTTGATTTTGTTCTCACTTTTAAATTAATTTACTATATTATACATCATGCTGTACTCCGAGCAGCGTTAATGTAGATGTTTAGCTAGTACGTATTATAACGGGCTGGTGCTGAAAATCAGCGCCGTGGACTCGAGCCTCTGTGCCCGGTCCACGGTATTAAGCTGAGCTCCAGCAGCCTTTTGCGCTGCGACGCACCATGGGCTTTTTTTCGGTGTTTCTAAATTCTTGTTGTGAGACGTAGCAAAATAAATGGTTTTTCTTTCTTTCTTTCTTTAATTGACCTGATCAAGTCCTTAGAGCAAAACAGAGATTTTTTTTTCATAGACACTAGATAGAAAACCGTAGAAAAATGATTATACTAACCGTGTAATAAACAGGTACCATTCGCAGACTTAAAATTCTCAACTTAGTTGGAGGCGCTCCGTAATGGAACGTGTAATCATCGACCAGTCGTCCCACTGGGTATAGTAAGTAGAGAAATATGGACTCTGTCATAGTCGCTATGCCTTTACCATATACGAACAACATCGCTCTAGTCTGGAAAGGACAAAGTGAGACAAATTAATATTGAAAGGAAGAAGGAAAGAAAAATAATTTATTCGCCACCAGACATATTGCAATGTAATCGTATGAAAAGTAACACCCACTTTTGCCAGTTCTAACTTTCCATGTGTATTGTATAATAAGGAGCAGTTTGGAGGCATAAAATTGCGATTGCCGAACAGAATAATTTTTGGTTTCGATTTTCGGTCGGATAATAATAATCTCTAAATTATGATTGTTTTTCTATTTAATTCTCAATACCAGCGCGTAATTTGGAATTGTACCCCATTGTGAATCGTTAAATTCATTAAGCTTGCTTAATCGCGTTTACCGTTAGGCCTTATCTAATATACTTAATGATACGTTATTTTATACAATTCTTACCCAAATGCTAGTAAGCACAAACATGAACAAAGCAACAGTTAAGAGAATTCCTTTAAATACATATATTCTTATTGTCGGCCATTCATATCGTACTGTTTGTATCAAACAGTGATAAGTCACAACCTGAAATAAGAAAATAATATTAAAATTGAAGATATTCAAAACCAAAGTCAAAAAGCATTTATATCAATTGACTCATAATTCAGTACTTTTGGATCGTCAACAAATACAAAATAAATAATAGTCTGTCAGTCAGTCCGCCAGTGAAGCCAGGTGAAGCTAGGTGCTCATTCCAAAATGTAGATTCAAATGGAAAAGAACGAGCAAGAAAATCCATTTATAATCCAGATAGTGATTAAAATTTCACTTATGTCCAACACATACTTACAATCATTGTAAATTCCATTAGTCCAGAAAATCCCATGAATAATACAGTAAATATATTACCAAGATAGAAATTTGAATAAAACATAGTCCAAAAAAAGAAATAGTTTCTTGGGTCTGAAAATAAGTGTCATCATAATATGTTTGTTCCTGATACACCATAGCGGTATATGTCTATAGGCTCACCTCCTATTACATGGAACTCATAACATAAATAGTGAAAAGTGGGTGTTACATTGTACAATGAAATTAAGTGCCGTAATTTGCACTTCTGCTTCCTTCGGGGATAAAAGGCGTAATGTTATGTTACACTATAGAATTGAAGTTACAGGGTAAATATGCTTTATGCATTAACATTTTATAGGTCATTTTCTATGTGTTACGGCAGCAATTGTATTGAAATGCGTCTCCTATTAAAGCACTATCCTTACTTCTATCATCAAACAAATCATAAAGAAATATGTTTGCATTTCATTAGTATTTTTCCTAGTATCAATAAAAAATTACTTACAAAACTCTTCTACATGAACCTCTTTTAATATAAGACGTTCAACGTATATTCGAACACGATTCGATAGCACTACTCTGAACAAGTATATTAGTGCATTTGAAATCACCATGGTTGCAGAATCTGTGCTTGGTGAGATCTGAAAAAACAATACATATTATACGGTATAAGCCGATAAACGATCAGACGGATCACCTGGTGGTAGGCAATCGGCGCCGCCCATGGACACCTGAAACACCAGAGGCGTTACAAGTCCATTACCGGCCTTCTGGGAATTAGGAATATGTTGACGTTCAAAAATGCCTTCCTTGTGTAATTGAAATAAATGATTTTGACTTTGACTTTGACTTTCAGGATAGTGGAGGATTCGGGGATTGGGGAGACTGGGTAATTGGGCCGCCAGTAAACTCACTGACATGACTAAATGCAACGCAAGCGTTTGTTTCACGTCGGTTTTCTGTGAGGCATTGGTAACTCCGGTCGAGACGGCCCATTAGTGCCGAAGCATGGCTCGACACTTAAATCCTATTTTAAACTGTCAAACGCCGCGAGGACACAAGTTACCGCAACCTATTGTTCTTTAATTGTGTCAAAATGGCGGTACTCAAAGGGTTAATGGATTTTTTTGTCTATAGGTCAGGTTAGGTTGCAAATGATTGTTGTTAGCAAGATAATTATAAGATTATTAATTCTAGCATAGGTACGTACCTCCTGTGTACTTCTAGCGGTCAAGACATGAATGACAGCTGGAGCTGTTATAGATTCGGATATAACATCGACATCAGCAGACTGTATTCAACAAAATATTATTATCGAACATACATAACATCACGCCTTTTATTCCCGAAGGCAAATGTGCACATTATACCATTGTACAATGTAACACCTTTCACTATTTATGTTATGAGTCCCATGTAACAGGGAGTGAGTCTATTGCCATATACCAGGCGCAATACCAGACTCCGTGCTACTACTGAGATTTTTTTTAAAACCCAGTAGTACTTTGCCCGGCCCGGGATTCGAACCCGAGGCCCCGAGGCCCGGCAATCGCACTAGCAACCACTCGGCCAACGAGGCAATCAAGTCAGTATTATTATCGAATTAGTATCTATATTGATGTCAATGCATAACAATTTTACCAAAGGATAACAACGATATAATTAATATATATATTTAATTAATATATAATTATTAGGTAAAGTATAGATCGTTGTGTTAGTCAAGATGGTTCCATAATTTGGTAACAGTTACCTACGTTTTCATCTTGTTGATTAAAAATTGCAAGAAGTGAAAATCTCAAAGATACATAGATTATCACCCTTATTTGCTCGAAAATGAAAACAAAAGGACACACATTAAGTGATATATAAAGTCTTACCCAAAACTGTGAGCTGAATATACTAGGGCTATTAACTTCAGAAGTTCTAATGACTAATTTTTGTTCTTCTGTCAATTCACTGCTTTGCGCTAACAAGTATATGAAAGTAATCAGATCAACGATATTTATTCCCCACTGACATCCATTCAGGAACTGTAATAGAATAAATTTAAAAACTTACTACTAACTTAGATACACTCTCAGGGTTGAATTTTGAATTGTAATTGCTGTTTGCGAAAAAAAACTAAAAATGTCATACACTTACCTTCCAAAATATTTTTGTCTCAACTAATTGATGAAACAAAGTGATCCCAAGAAATAAAAAGAAAAAGTAGGACGCGTTTCGAAATACGTCCAGCTCATTCATGTAGTGCCTATGAACAAAATATATTTGAATGTGGTAAATTACTATCAAAATAAATAAAACCTTGTGGCAACGCACGAAATACCCGATTTTTTAAACTTAAATCTTGCTACAATAACAACATCAAATTCAACATAGTATAAGTGTGGGAGAGCCATGCTTCGGCACGAATGGGCCGGCTCGACCAGAGTGATACTACATCCTCACAGAAAACCGACGTGAAGCAACGCTTGTGTTGTGTTTCATCGTGTGAGTGAGGTTACCGGAGGCCCAATTACCCTCCCCTTCCCCAATATCCCCAATTCCTGAATCCCCAACGATCCTCAAACTCCTAATTTCCCAAAAGGCCGGTAACGCACTTGTAACGCCTCTGGTGTTCCAGGTGTCCATGGGCGACGCCGTTTGCTTACCATCAGGTGATCCGTCAGCTCGTTTACCGGTTATTGCCATAAAAAAAAGTATAGAAGTGACTTCTACTGACCAAACACCTCTTCTAACTATACTGCGCTTTCAATAAGTATTTGCTAACTATGCATTCTATACAATACTAGCTTCTGCCCGCGACTTCGTATGCGTAATCCCATTTTTCCCGTCCCCATTCATGATTTTCGGTAGAAAGTAAAAAAAAAATTGTGGTTAAAAAGTATCCTATGTCGGTCTCTTGGCTCTAAGCTACCTCCCTACGAATTTTCAGCCAAATCTATTCTGCCGTTCTTGAGTTATAAGTGGTGTAACTAACACGACTTTTTTTTATACATATAGAAGAATGTCTATGCTATATACTTACAATAAATGCCTATAATAGTCCATCTGCGATATTTGTATAAAGTTCTTGTCTGGTGTCACATAAGAAGACTTTTCGTATCCTAATGTTACATTTTTAAATGTTTCAGCAAATTCTTGTAAATTGTAACATTGAATTGTTACATTTAGAAGTGCATCGTAGTAAGTTTTCGTATCACACCTGTGAGTTAAATAAATCACATAAAAAACATAACATAAAACATACTATCACGCCTTTTATCCCCGAAGGGGTAGGCAGAGGTGCACATTACGGCAATTAATGCCACCGTAGAATGTAACACCCACTTTTCACTATTTATGTTATAAGTTGGGACTTATAACATACCCCACCATCACCCCCCTATTACATGGGTGTAATAGGGGGGTGAGCCTATTGGCATATACCGGGCACATTTCCAGACTCCGTGCTACTACTGAACTTTTTAAAAACCCAATAATACTTTGCCCGACCTGGGAATCGAACCCGAGACCTCTCGACCAGCAGTCGCACTTGCGCCGACTCAGCCAACGAGGCAGTCAGAGTTAAATAAATCAATAAATTATATTTCATAAAGTTTAATGAAGAGTTAATCGTTAGAACGTTTGCTATTCTCTGATCGATCGATTAGGTTTAAATATAATGCTCAAAAAGACTTTAGCTGCTATAATCATGCCCAACTGAAGACAATAGATTCGCTCTTCTTACGTGGATTGGATAATATTAAATTGGCCTTACCTGTTCCATGGATTTTTCCTAATAATTCCATCCATTAAGTAATGAAACAACATCATTACGGTGTCTAAACATAGAAGAATCTCACAAAATCCTGCCATAACCAACAAATATTTAAAACCTGAAAAAATACATGTATTTAAAATGATATTATAATTTAGAAATTTTATAAGAGATGTTTATTTCATAAATCTATAATAACAAACAATAGTAGGTACTATAGATTAACTCCAACGTACCAAAGCATATGGGCACCATTTTAATCAAAAAGAGATGCTCTTCAGGTGCATAAGTTGCCATAAAAAAATGGACGAAACAATGTGGCAATGTTATAAAGAACACATTCAGTACATAAAACCAAATACACCTGTAAGAAAAACAAAATAAAATATCCATAGAATAGGTAGATGCCTAATTTATATTTAAATGTCCGTCTGGTAGTTTATTTTAAATCATTACACACTTATCTTTTATTTTCCTACAGAAACGAATACTTTTGACGATGTATTGATTTGAAATGTCGCGTGACGTCACTTTTATGAACATTTTATACGTAGAAATGATGTTTTAGCCCGCACTCCTAAACTTTGATTCGTTTTATCTAAGTATTGTTTTATTATACGACAAAGTAACGTGTCTAATATTTTTTCATTACCTGACTTACGGACTAATTATATTTTTAATTTTCATACCCCGTCATCATAATCATATGTGTAAATTCACACCTTTGTTCAATCATGGTAGGCCAAATTACAAAACACCACTTACTACGTTAGGAAATGTCGACCTCATCTTTTGCTTAAAAAATTGGCTGCTTTGCCTATTTGCAGAAATAAATTCACTTGTTTCATTTGTTACGATCCTAAGAAACTTCTTAGGCTTATGTGGTAACTGTTATCATCACCTTGAAACGCTGGATCGAAGATCAGGAGTAGGAACGGGTTGGTTTTTAATCAGTTAAGAGTCTGAAACTTCCTCTCGCCTCATCCCAGGCGGTAGAAGTCATTGGATTATTTTCCCCCTCAAAAAAAGTGGGTTATGGGCCGTGTTTAACTTTAAACTGTCAAACACCAAGCGGTCACCGGTGACCGCGACCTATTGTTCTTTAATTGTGTCTATAAAACCGGTACTCGACGAGTTAAATTAGATATTTTTTGAACTTACACATTCAACTCCACATGTTTCATTACAATTATCTCTGTCTTGCATGGTGTGGCTGTTAGGGCCCTGTAGTAAGAGAGACGCTCCCATTTGGTCGATCTTATTATTGGTCGTTCTGAAGGCCGAGATGTCTGTAATAATTTTCACATAACATCACGCCTTTTATCCCCGGAGGAGTAGACAGAGGTGTACATTATACCACTGTACAATGTAACACCCACTTTTCACTATTTATGTTATGAGTCCCATGTAATAGGGGGTGAGCCTATTGCCATATACCGGGCACAATTCCAGGCTCCGTGCTACTACTGAGAATTTATAAAATATCCTGTAATACTTTGCCCGACCCGGAAATCGAACCCGAGACCCCTTGCCCGGCAGTCGCATTTGCGACCAATTGGCCAACGAGGCAGTAATGTCAAATAATATATTTAAAAGTCATACAAAAATAAGTCCCTTTATTACTTTTTTTGTTGCAGTGGTACTATTTACTCATTGCAAAAGAGGGGTAGGGACCAAGAGGGAAAGAAACACAAAAAATTAAGCAAGAAAGATAAAATAAAACTGTGCACAAACCTTAGCCACTAAATGCAAATGAAATCTAGGATTATCTGGAGTCATCAATGGCGCTTCACGTTCATGAGTAGTACCGATCTCCTTACGACTATCTCTGTCCATGATGAAGACTTTGAAATTGCTAACAAATTCAACAATATACCTTTCTGCAAGTTTCTTTTGATTTCAAAGTAAATAATCCTGGAAAGATGAAATATTAACTACGAGTTTCTTCCTGGGATTCGATAGGATAATAAATAGCCTATGTATTAATTGAAACCATAGTCTAACCCTGGTCCAAATTTGGAACCGATCCCTTAATCTATGTTAACGTGTTTGAGTAACAAATTTATTTGAATTTATAATAACAGATAAATTAACATAACATCACGCCTTTTATCCCCGAAGGAGAACGCAGAGGTGCATACTTTGTCACTGTAAAATGTAACACCCACTTTTCACTATTTATGTTATGAGTCCCATATAATAAGGTGTGAGCCTATTGCCATATAGACTCACCCCCTATTACCGGTATACCGGGCACAATTGCAGACTCCGTGCTACTATTGAGATTTTTTTTAAAACCCAGTAATACTTTGCCCGATTCGGGTATCGAACCCGAGACCCCTTGCCCGGCTGTCTCGGCCGACGAGGCAGAATTTATAATATTAGCAAGATAATTCCACATGCCTGTAAGTCAAGGTGCACACATTGGATAGAAACTATATTCTTACACTTAAATACATAACTTCACGCCTGTCTCCCATGGGGGTAGGCAGAAAATTCTTTCGCTTTATCAACAGTCATAAAGTTTTTCATATATGCTCGTCAGTTATAGCTTTTTACTATATATTTTGAAGTCCTATGTATCAACAGGTGTAACGTAATAATATTTTTACCCAACACAAGAATACCCCTTCCTCAGCAGGATAATGTTTTTCAATCAACAAAGCAGTAATAATTTCGAAAAGCCAATTCACAGTTCAATACAACCCATGGATTTCTTTTGTTTCCATAATATATAATACATATTTGAACCTTAGTACTTACCCCAGGAACCATACATTTAATCAACAATACGTAATTATAACAATGCAATAAAATAATTGTAAAAATACGGAATATAAAATATTGATTTACTGTTTATGTTAAAGTTGTCAGAATGACAATAAATGGCAGGAGTTTTTTTTTGTCTGTGGCATACAGAGAGTATTGTACAAGGATGTTGGAAAAAAGGCGGATATAATGACACTTGACAATTTTTTTCTTCTCTTATAATATCTTCTGACTCACTTCGTTGGGGGACCTTCCTTCGGGAACCAAGACATTTACTTATGTCTCTGGGACGCGCCAGACTTCAGTGTTCCGGTGTTTTAATGGTTGTATCTACTGTAGATCCTGGCTTACAGGAGTTGCAGCGGATTTGGGAGATTGTGGCGGGCTTGTCCCAATAAAAATAAAGCACAAAAATGTTTGGTTTTTTTAAGTGTGTGTGCATGTGTAATGGGTAACCACGTTACCAGATTTAAGAAAATAACAGATGTCCTTCGTGTCAATGTGTGTATGCTCTGCATGTAAGTCTACAGCAGCCAGGTGCCACAGTCGTTGTTTCAAGAGACTATATCCGCCTTTTTTTAACGTCCTTGATATTGTAATGACAACGTAAAATGATAACTATTGTAACAAACAGTTTGTAACTAATCTGCACACTAGTTATGTTCAGCAGAAGAAGATATTACAATGAGATTGATAAGACAGATAATCATGAACGTTAACTTTTCTAAATCATGAAAGGTAAGGCCATGCGCTCCGTTAGGCGGGCGCACGGCGCGGGCGCCTGCGTGGCGTGCTGTTTCATGTATCCTCATAGATCAGGGTGCGACGGGCGACCTGCTGTGAACACGCCTACCGCAACACATGGTCTAAATCAGTAGAAAAAATAAAAGACAGCTCCATATAAAACATCATATTAATATAATGTTTATTTTTAATCTATTTTTAATCTGTTGAACAAAAATACAAGTTGATTGACACAACATTCTTTGTTCGAAAGAAATAAAACTTAAGTCTAATTACTTCCACTTATTAAAAAACAAAATGAATAATAATAACTTTAAAATAATATAAATTCGCCAGAGTGCACAATTATTGATATCTTATTCATCATCATCAGCCCGTGTTCGTCCACAGCTGGACATAGGCCTCTCCAATGGCACGTTACTAAGCCTATTACGTAACATAAAACAGGATTACAACTTAAATGTAAAAAAGGCCTGAAAACTCACATAAAAATTGATAGTTTACAGTTAAAATAATGTACAAGTCAGCTGCGAAGTATTAAAGAAATTGTAAGCAAGCATTTGAAAAATGCAATAACAGTACTTAATATAGTATCGTCAAGATAATTTCGTTGTTTGAGATCTTCGTTTATTTGACTTAGAGGTTAATCCAAATCCGACTGCTTTATTGCCCGTAGACCTTCTTTGGACGTCGTAACGAACATCTACCTTATAAACTTTGGTCTCCCTCTTTGATAAGAGATAACGACTCAATAGTCTAGGCACATCTGAAGCAATAAACTGAAAGAAAAATAAATAATTTACGCTGAAATACTAAATACTCATTATATAAGTCGCGCTTAAGTATAGTTCTGACCTGATACTACAATTTCTTTGTAAACTTTATTTCACACTAAGATTTTCTCCTGTATCGTGGATGCTTTTACAAACATACAAGTTCACATGCATATAATAACACCCAGACTCGGAACAACAATTTGTGGATCACACTAAGAGTTGCTCCGTGCGGGAATCGAACCCGCGACACGTTGTGTGGCAGCCAGTTGCCCAGCCACCGCGCTAAACCGAAACTGACAGTGATGGAACTATATTTAAACACAATTTAAGATTGAGTAGTCTATCAGTATTCGAGCGTTAGGATCCAATCGAACGAGAGCTTATTTTACTTTGCGTCAAAAAGCGTTTGAAAAGATTATATATTTGCTATTTGTATTATAACTTCTGTTAGACATACTAAATTATTTATTATGTTCGGCTTAACCATGTAACTGTTTGACGAAAATCTCGACTAGTTTCAAGCCATGCTAATGTACTAGGAACGTTTACTCGAACATTGACTATACACGATTTTTTTTGGGACCAGCCCGCCACAACCTCTCAAAACCGCTGCAACTCCTGTAAGCAAGCACCACGGAAACTATACACGACTTACGTATCTCGAATCGAATTGCTTTCTTAATTGTCTGATAGAAAAATCACGAGGTCCCCATTTGGGTACTGGACGCATAATGAGGTTCCATGTCTGAAAATATTAATAAATGAAAATTATTATTTTGATCGGTATTTGTATAAGTATTTGTTACAAAAGAATTTATTAACATGAAACAAAAAGCATTGACCAAGGGGTACTAAGCGGTGGTGTCTTTCTGCGAGAATGTGATGTCGCAGAAGGAAACTGCGGAACGGGAGAGGGAGATCTTACTGACTTCCTTTCCCAACCGCAGAAGGCGCACCGGGCGTAGGAGAAGGGCCGACAACGCCCTCTTCCGGCCCCCATAAATGGGTCCAGGGACGAAGGACTTGGGGAAGTCCTCGCCCCCGACTTCACAGACCCGAGTCGAAGGCGCGCGCGGGTGTCGGCGTGCGCCTTTAAGGCGATGCACGTGGTGCACTGCTCCGTGCAGGTGACGGGGCCCTGACATATGGGCCGGCAGTGTAATGCGGGGCTGCGGATGAATTTGGACTCCCGTGGCCCCGCACGCACGTGTGAGGCGACACTGGGGTGGTTTTAGCCGGTAAGAGTCCGGCACACCCCTCCGCCTTTCCCCAGGCGGAGACGCGTGCGTTACCCCAACAAGAAAGTATCTCCTAGAGATATATGAGTAGAACGTATAGTTGGTGCCTTATCTGCTGTAAATGTGCCCCCACTTAAAAAATGTGTGCCCCCTGTCGTTTTGAAAAAAAAACGGAAAAACGATTCTTGCTGGGGTAACGTTTTTCTAGCAGGAAAATTCTAAACGAGTGATCGGAGAGAAAAAAAATGTGCATGGCCAGAGAGCTTATATGTGTGCCACTATGTGCCTCCAAAAATAAAATCTGTGCCCCTTCAGATTTTCGGGATATTGCGTTTCCTGCTGGAGTAACGTTTTGATGAATCGTATATCTCTAAAACCATTGCATGTGCCCCTGTAGAATAAACATTCACGAGTAGCTCTTAATGTGTGCCTCTGTGTGCTCCAATTAGATTTAAGGAAATATTTATAGTTTTCAAGTTATCGCGGTTTTATGAAAATCCGAAAAAACATCGCAGCGCCTAAATGAGACAAGGTATAAGTTCGCTGAAAACTGTATTCGGTCCTTCTTGATGCTAATAATACCCATACAAAGTTTCAAAACGCTTCATGCATGCGTTTTTGAATAATCTTGCTACAAGTCAAGACGATGGTGTCATAACTTTGACGGCAAAATACAAGGAACTGGCTAAATCCCAGATGTGTAGGTGTAAACCAAAATCATGTGCCTTTAATCAAAAATATGTGGTGAAAATATTGAGCTTGGAATGTTTCGCATTAAGTAAATATGAACAAAAAACCGAATTAAGTAAACAACGGCTGGTTATCCGACCGAATTTGAATGACTACTAAAAAGCGACGGATTCATACATATCGATGACCTTCTTTATTGGACGTATTATACCTAAGCTGTTGTCCGTGCAGTTGCGTTCAAAAGTTTTGGGGGCTAATTAAAAAATATATTAAATGCAGCTTGTGACTATTAATGAAACAGCTTGTTGATGTGGAAATTATTATTTTTCTTCCCTTAATTTAAGAAAAAAACTTAACTTAAACTAAACTAAATTTCCAAAAGACATAAGAAAATTTGTATTTCGCGGGCTACTCTGGAGCATTCATTTTAACCCTGTACAATTTTGTCTATTCTACTGTGTAGACTATTACATGTGGCATAATATTATATTTCCCACTTCGTTGGATTTTACCATATAAGTCATCATAACATTCAAATAAATTACTATTTTTTCTGTAGCAGTGAGCCCTGTAATGTCCAACACTATTGAGTTTCGAAGCGGGTTCATATTCTATTGCA